AAAAATGTAAATGTTCACTTTTGTAATGAGTACAAATTACCCATACATAGTTTCTAAAAAGAATTGGGAGAATATGTATACAATTAATAAGATACACTAAACAAACACCTTTGCAAGGCCAAAAGCAGCACATGGAAGATGAATGATCTTCTGGAACGAAGGGGTCAGATATTCTTCTATACCATAGTATTTTACTTTTGTGCATCCTTTTCTGACATGATTCCTTCTGCTTGTCTCTCACAGGGCACAATGTCAACATTAATCAGGGGTACCAGTAATAGCACAGCAACTACTGTGATAACGCTCAAGAGAGCCTGCTCTTCTATCCCGTCAATCTTGGCACGGCTCAGGATGCATTTCATAATGGTGACAGATGCCACCCCATTTCAGGGTCTTCACTGGGAAACCATGAAGCTGCTCCTGCTTCAAGACATAGCCGGCTGATGAGTCACTCGCTCAAGCTGTGAGACCAGAGGCGCTTGGAATGAGCAGGTGAAGGGACCAGGTCAAGGTCATGCTGTGAAATGAGGGCTCGCTCTAAAAGCCAGCGGCACACAGGTTAGTGCGGCTCAGAGGAGGAGCTGCTGCTCACTGTGTTACTCTTCGAATTTATCACCTAAATAGCATGGTAGAAAATGAATAAAATATTTGCTAGATAATAAAGGAACACTTAGTATAGTAACTGTAAGCCATCAAAAGGAAAACTAATAATTGTCTAAAAATGTTTGTCCTTTAAAAGATGGGAAACACGGGACATAATATTCATTGTACAGTGTATGATTTAATCATATGCTAATCTGCACTAAGAGTATGTCAATGTTACTGGTTTTTTTGTTCAAACTGGATTTCTCATCTTTATTAAACGATTAATAGATTTTTAAAAACCTTTTAAAATCAAGAACATGAAATAAACACTGGACTCCTAGAAACATTTCACATGCAAAATCTATAAAGCTTCAAAAAGATGTCACGTTAGGAAGAGATACAAATAGAAGTTGCTTCATAATTGTCAAATTACTTAGAAAAGGACTGAGATGAGTTTCATACACCGGGGATAACAAAAGAGCAGCTTTGTTAAAAAATAACCATAAAAATCACATTACTTCATTTATGGATAAATAATGTCCAACCAAGGGCTTGGTATCATGTAGGTCCCATTTCCAGAGGACCCTTCGCTTTAATACTGGGAATTATATTTACTCTAAACATCTATTATACCATTAGGCATTGTTTATTTTTTTAAAAAGAGGGGCAAACTGTGTCAGTGTTGTTGGGTTGAAGAGTAATTTAAATGAGCCCTTTGGTTTATGTTGTACACAAGGAGGCTTTACAAGACCTAATCTTTTCTAAACCTGTTATGCTCCTTGGTTCAGCAGCGCTTCCTAATTGTAGCTATTAGTTCCCCCTTTTTGAGGTCTGTTCTGTCAATAGACTATTGAGTGTTCAGTAAATTAAGCCCAGCCAGCAGCCAACACATCGAGACAGACGTTAAATCATAGCCTGGCTGCCCTTATTCATTATTAGTATCTGTGAAATGGCTTTTAAACACAGGGACAGGATTTAACAGGATGTGCATTTGTGTCATTCTCAGATTTCCATACTGTACAATCAGGTATGTGAGGGTTTTTTTCTAGGCAACAGGTGTGTTCCTGGGACAAAGTTCCAACCCCACTTCTGGCTTATGTGAGAGGCGGCAGCTGCAAGCTTAGTGTGAATGACACATGGTTCTGTTAGAGACAAAAATAAACAACTGTTCAGAGAATTCAAGCAACAGGCAGATGGACTATAGCTGCCTGTGCTGCTTTTCTTTGTACTGTGGAGTCAGGGTCTAAATTTTCAGAGAACAAGTGTTTCTCTCTTCTTTTCTTTCTTTCTCTGTCCTTCCTTCCTTCTTTCCTCTCTCCATCCTCTCCTTCCCTTATTCCCTTTTTCCTTCTTCCCTTCCCTTCTTCCTTTTTTCCTTCTTTCCTCCCTTCTTTTTTCTTCTTTCTGTTTCCTTTCTTCTGTTTTTAAAAAAATCTAGTGGGAAACATAAATTTCTTTAAGAATTACACATTCATTATTGAGATTATAACTTCGCTGCAGTCATTTGTTTATGAATGCAGAGAAAGAAAAAAGGTAATGTAAATTAAGTTACACTTTATAGCTCACTTAGTTCTAAAAAGAATCTAAAAGGACTATTTACTATGCAACTTGAAGACTAAGTATGCAAATCCTACCTTTTTTTAAAATGCAAAGTTAAGCATTTATTTATGGGCCTTATTAGTTAGAAGCTTTTATCTAAATTTTGTGAGACACTATTAATAAGAATCACAAGGTATTGAGGTATTGTGTACCTCAAAAGTAGAACATCAGCATTAATTAAGGGTAGCAATAATGATATAGTAATTATTGTGATCATGTTTAAGAGGGCAAATGTTCACCAATCACTCAAGCGTCTTTGTGTATGGAAGATAATATTCCTTTGTGTGTTCACTTTCAGGTGTGGTCATCCCTCAGCATTTAAGGAAAGTAGTGGACAAGGCTGATGATAGATATTGCCATTAATCTCCCGCAAAGTACTCCCTCTTGCTTCAAACACACTTATCCCATCATGCTTGATACTTTCTGAAGCAGTTCTGGAAGTCCTTTTACATGAGTAGCTTTAGCTGTGCTGTTGTGGCTGCCTTGATGTCCTGAACTGACTCAAATTTACCTTTCATGGTCAGATTGACTTTGAGGAAACGCCAGAAGTTACACGGTGCCAGATCCAGTGAGTAAGGTAGATGAAGACACACCATAATGTTTATATTTAACAGAAACTGCCACAAACGGCAATGCGTCTTTTACTGTAATACTTTTTTAGGCATTCATCATATTTTTTGATTACAACTTCTTATTTAATAGAAATAACGTATGAGAAGAACTTTTTTTTTTTTTTGCTTTTTGAGACGTGGCAAATAAATACATTGCAATGGAATTGAGATGAGCAAATATTTGACTACAACCTTGAAACTTGGGCTATCCCCGGAGTCCCGGATCCACAGAGGACTTGCATGGGGGGTTGTGTGTGATTTCTAACTAGGAATGGAGCAAAGAAAGAATCCCTTTTGATGTTTTTTTCTTAACCTCAAACCACAACTTTATTCAAGAATCAGGTTTTCTGTGAAGCTATACTGAAAACAGTTTTGCCAGGATTGTCCCATTGGTGAGAAATCTATAGGCATATGGAGTTGGAATTCAATCCTGTGGGATAACAGAGCTAGTGAAAAAGAAGAATTTGATGATAAATTTCTTTTTAAGTTTTTAATTGTTTGAGCTTATTGGATTTCCACAAAATGCAAGCAAAGCATGACTCAACCCCAGGCTTGATGCTAACAGTTTAAGCCGTGTAAAAAGTGTCCACAAGTGGGAGACTGCTCTAGACATCTTTAAATGTCTTTTCTCATACAAGAATTCCCAAATTCTTTCTATGATTTCATTTTCCTCAGGTTGCATTGTGTTTTTAACTAGGGTGAGATACATATGACAAAAGTTATCATCTTAACATTGCCCCCACCCCCATGTACTGAAGATTGAACCCAGGTCCTTCTCACTGAGCTCTGGCCTCAGCCTTTTTAAAAAATTTGAGACAGGAACTGACTAAGTCACTAACTTGCCCAAGCTGGGTTTGAACTTATGACCCTCCTGTCTTAACTTTCCACCCAGCTGGGGTTATAGGCATGTACCACCACACCCAAGTCTTCATCATTTTAAAATGTATGATTTAGTAGTATTAAGTATTTTCACATTGTTGCACCATTTCAGGAATTTTTTTCCTCTTGCAAAAATGAAACCATACCAATTAAAGAACTCTGCATTTCCTTCCTCCCTTAGCCTTTGCTAACATCACCCCGCTTTCTGTCTCTATGAATTTGACTACTCAAATATTTCATGTGAGCAGAATCATATAGCATTCATCTTTTGCATCTGGCTTATTTGCTTTAGCATAAGGCCCTCAGAGTTCATCCATTTTACATCATCTAACAGGATTATTTTCATTTTTAAAGCTGAATAATTTTCCATTGTGTGTGTGTATCACATTTCCTTTACGCATTCATCTGTCAGTGGCTCCTATGAACAATGTCATTATGAACATACAGGCTATACAAACCCAATTTCAGTACTGTTGGGTACAGACCCAGAAGTGAGATTGCTGAAGCATGCTGTATGTAGTTCTACAGTTAAGCGGTAAGGACCTTCTATACTTTCTTTCCACAACAGCGGCACTGTTTTATATTTCCACCAATAGCGCAAAGGGTTCCAGTTTCCCCCCTTCCACGCCAACACTTGTTACTGGGTCTTTCTGAGAGTAGCTGTCCTAAGGGGCATGAGGTGACAGGCTCTGTCTGCTCTTCAAGGAAAGGGGACAGGTGGCTGGTGGCTGAGTCAACTCAGCCAGAGGGTCTTTTATAAAGGGCAAGCGAAGTTACCCTTAGTCCTCTGGTCTGTGCCCTCTACGGTTTCCCATCACGCTGGAGGAAGGGCCACATCCCTGACCGTGACTGAGACCATGCCACTCGGTTCCATCCTTGGGGCTTTAGCCTGGGCTGCCTCCTCGGTGTGGACCACTCTCCTCACTCGCTCCATGGCGCGCCCCCCTCTCCCCTCAGATCTCTGTACAGATGTCACCTCCTCAGAAGTGCCTTCTCGTAATAGTGTCCCTGTATTGCCCTGCTTTCTTTCTTCGTCCTATCTACACTACCTAAATTAGTTTATGTACTGCCTGTGTTGTCTGTGTCCTGGAGTAAAGCAAAACTTCTGTGACATGTCTTTATCATCTCTGACCCCCAGCTTCAGAACAGTGCTGGCAGTGCGCCATCAGTGGGCAGCGCATGCATGATGAACTGATCAGTGCCTCCCTCAGAGCTTTAGCTACTGCCTGCCTAGCCAGAGTGAGAAACTCATCACGCTGCTTGAGTGCCAGAGGCTGGGCTGGCGACTGTGAGCGCTCCACAGACAGCAGGGAGGAAAGTACTCACATGAGTCTCCACGTCACCGGCTAGGATCTTGCTGTTCCTTAAAAATTCTGCCACCATGCTGTTCATCAGCTTATCAAAGGCTTCCACAGAGGGTGCCACACCTTGGGAAAAGGGACACTTTGTTATTCCCTGGTAATTTATTGAAGACCTGGGACGGTCTTGCATAGGTAACATGGATGTTCAATATCATTGTCATTCTTACTAATTCCTTCCCAAAGCCATTCCCTCAACCAATCAATATTTACTTAGCACTTCTCCACGGCCCAGGAAGACACTGTTTCATCCACATCATTTCATTCCACTCTCCCCAAGCCCAGTGAGGGAGATGCTACCATCAAAGTGTGGCAGGTGAAGAATTAGAGGTACAAACAGAGCAGGCGATGGGCCAAAGTGACAGGCCAGACAACAGGCAGAAGGAAAATCGGAACTGGGCTGGATTCGTCCAAAGCCACTGCACTTTCTTTCAACCCTCACCTGCTCAGGTGCTGAATCACTGTACCAATAATACCAAGAGTCCCAGGGAGACCAAAAAGCAGAATGAACTCTAGGCAAAGACCCAGTGTTCACTCATTTTGTCCCTTCTTCAATTTCCACAGGGAGGAGACATGACCATGTTGGGAATGAGGATCACTGCTGAGCTCATGCACATGGGCTTGGCTCTGCCAATTTACTGTCAAAGTTGAAGTGACAATGGCCCAAGCAGAGTGTTGTGTTTCTTTTCTTGATTTTTAACTAACCAAAAAAAATCAGTGTCCCTGACTTTACGTCCCTAATATTGAGAACCTCAACACTATAGGCCATTAAAATCCAACCCAAAGCCTAGCATTGTCTTTCTTCTATTGTGCAATAGTCCGGGCACACAAAACTATAGGATGAAACTTCCTTCCTTTTCTCTTTTTCCCATGTGCCCATTTCCACAGGCCCAAAGGTGACAGGAACCGTTATTCATAGCTCTCTGCTCCTATCGGACAATGGAAGCCAAGTTATCCCAAACTTCAAACAGTGTGCAAACTTCTGCAACAGGGCACAGGCCCAAAGATTTCTTATGGGCCCTTATACAAACAGACAAACAAACCTATTCATTGCTATTGGAGGGGCCGGAGAGCTCTCTGTTGACTATTTAAAGTGGGAGAAAGCTTTAGAGATGTGGCAGAGGCCTCTATATAACAGAAGGTAGAATGATAAAAAGAAATATTTCCCAGTTTCTTTTCATCACTGTTCTTAGCTCACCTCCTCTGGGTAGCCTTTAATGAATGATCTGTCCTTTTCCCAGCCAGCCAGCATCCTTTGAGCACCTCTTAATCAAAGCATTTGTGGTTCTGAATAGTAATGCTTCTAGACCAAAGATTTTGGAGGATTAGGATTGTGTATAATTCATCTAAGACCTCCTAACACAGTGCTTGTCACTTGGCAAGAATGAAGAATTATTTCTTCAACTGTTGGGCTGAACTTACCTGACTGCTGGGGTGGGGGGAATCCCCCACATCATAACACTGAATTCATAACATGGTATTTTTTGATCTATGTGTAGTATGCATTTTAATGGACTGTGTTCCTTCCAAAAGTTTCTTTTAAAGTAACAGCAATTAATTTCAGCTTTATATCATAGAAATGGCCATGTTTATATTTAAGGTGGAAGATTGTTCTCAAGAATTTGTCAAAAATGGAATCAGAAATCTACCAAAAGTTACTAATTACGAAGAAATGGAAATAGTGTTGTTTAGAATTAGTCAACGTGTTTTAAGGTTGGATATCATTCAGATAGCTTACAAATAAATGACCCTACTTACTAATTACCCTACTTCATTTAAGGTTGGTAATAAATTGCCAGCTGAGTTGTTTTGCTTTGCTTTGAAATGATTTGCTCTATTAGAAAATATTTGTTTAAATATAAAATAATTTAATTATATGTCTTCCAATTTTACTTAGCCTACAAATTTTTCCAGAAAAAAAATCTTTTAATAAAGATAATTAGAAGTTCAGTTTACTACCCTTCTGGATATGTGAGGTTCGAATTTATATTCATGGATTTTTATTTAGTCAACAATAAGATACAGTTCTTCTGGCAGCCGCATTTTAACTTTTTTGTGTACTGACAGATTTTACATTTTTGGTTAGCAATCTTTCAGAAATCTCTGTAATCACAATGGCATAACGAAACAAAGTTACTGAAAAGAACATGAAATATTTTTTTACAAATAAGGTTTACAAGTCTCATATACCAGCTGTACAGTTAATGAAAAGAGGCTTAAAATGAAATCATAGATGTGTCTCAGTCACTGTGAAAAAAACTAACCGGGCCCTGGCAGCGTTCCTTTAAACAACACTGCCTTTCAATTCATTCAAAGCATTTTAATTTTCATTATGTTCAGGGGGGAAAAGACACAGCCAGCACATTTGTGCTCACACAGTAATTTTTGTTCCATGGCACGCAGTAAGGCACAGCTCCAAATGTGCCTAGTAGGCACCAGTGTAGTTCTTTCCCGAGGAAAATGATTTTGAAGCCTCCTTTCCCCCAAGGCTTTCTCAGCTGCAACCCCCAAACCTAATAGGATTCAAAATAGGTCAGATAAGGAGACCCATGTGGGACAAAAATAGTCACCATATTAAATACAGATCACCCAGATGAATTTGAATTTCAGATAAGCGATGAATCAATTTTTAGTATAAGTGTGTGCCATGCAGCAAAGCCTATGCAGTATTTGAGACACCGGAGACATTAAAAAAAAAATGTCTCCAAACCCCAAACTCCTAATTGTTTTTTATCTGAAATTCAAATGTAACTGTTGTCCTGTATTTTTATTTGTTAAGCTACAACCTTAGGCAAGAAGGAATTGGAAAAGTTACTGCAGATAACTTGGAGAGTCTGCCATAAAAGGTACCCTTTCAAGGAAAGTACGTTTATTTTTGATCGTACAATGTGAAAAAAGTTTCAGGTTGGTATTAAGGCTGTAGTGTTAAGAATGAATCAGGCTGGGAGTAGGAAGGGTAAAACCCTGTGGTGTGGCCCTGTGACACCCATGATAGTTGGCTACACATCTGTCATAGCTTCCCTCAAACTGCAGCTCTTACATGTAACGGCTTGTTCTGAAAATTGAAATCTACGTTCTTTCCAATTTATGTTCTATTTGAGGGCGCTCATTTTCTCTTTTTTGATAATTACTTAGATAACATATTTAGCCTTGGAGTGTTGGAACTGCAGTCTAAACACTAAAATGAGAGAATAATGACATTGGGCAGCTGGATTATGCTCTAAGGCACGTGGCTGTTGGTGATTTTTTGAGTTGTGGGATAAAAATCCTTATTTTTTTAAATTGGTGCATAAAATGTGTACATATTTACAAGAAAAGAAAGATTTTTTTTTTCTTTCTCTTTTCCAGAAACCTCTTGCCCCTGGTTAATGTTGTGGTCACAAAGAAAGGTAGGAGTGGAGGAGCTGGGAGCAGGTGGACATGTTCTGGAGTGCTACGTGACAAGGACACATCTAAATGACCCTCACAGACACGAGTGATGACAGCAGCGTGGTCCTACCTCCATTGACACCGTTAATCTCCCCGAAGTTCCCAGGAGGCCGGCGCGACTCTGCAGACAGCTGCTCCAACCGGCTGACGGCGCGCTCCAGTCTCTCCACCAGGCCCTGCAGGTCCGCCATGCTGCACGGACACAGGCACAAGGGCCACGTGAGCACCGGAGAGGATTAGCAAACTGGCCCCATCACACTCATCCGCAAACAGGAAAAGAGACCACGGGCATGCCTTCGGTTGCCTAAAGAAGACTATGTCTGCCCATGAGGAAAATACTTGAAATTCTAAAGAACACAACACTCAGAAGAGAAAGCAAATGCCATTGAGCTTATTTTCTACTGGACTCCATAATTTGCACAGAAACGTAAAAATGAACAGTTATGACACAAATAATCATTCCCTTTACATCCCTCTCCAGTGCCTGCTGGGTTGCTTCCCTGTTACCCAATACAGTTTACGGACAGCACTTACCTCTGAGCTCACACACGTACCTCTATGTTAATATTGTTGACTCTTATTCTGCTAAGGAGAGGGCGTGCATTTTAATTACTTCCAGGAATTCTTCCTGTAAAAATATAATTCCCCAGGGACTCTAGCCCCACTAATAATCCTTATTTACTTAATCGTGTGAACCATCTAGCCCAGAGCAAAGAACTGTGCGCTTATGAAACTGTGTATTATTTAGCAGGCAAGGAGGGCCATTACCTCCCCGTGCTAACTGTCATTATGAATTTGTTCTAATGTTTCTGTCCCTCAATACTTGCTTATTTATTTATTTATTTGTCGGTACTGAGTATTGAACTCAGAGCCTTCACACTGAACTCATCCCGAGACCATTAATGTTTTTCTACTTTGAGAAAGGGTCTCAGTAAGTCACTCAGTTGCCCAGGCTAAGCTTGAACTTTTGATACTCCTGCCTCAGCCTCCCAGAGGGATAGGATTACAAGTGTGTTCCAACGTACCAGGCTGCTCAATTATTTTAAGTTAAAATTATTCTTGGATGGCAGAAGTTTTAATTTAAAATACTAAAAATGATTATTTTCCTTCTGTAATGTTGCTGATCATTTTCAGGCAAAATTTAGTGTTCAATGTGGTTGTTCGACGCAGGATCACTTATTACCCAGGATTCCTGCTGGGATAAATAAGGAATGGGGCCCACTGAAGCCTAACAGGAGGAGCACTGCAGCCGCCCCTGTTACCCCCCAAAGTGTGTCAAACTGCCTGTGTCCAGCCTGGCTGTGTCGAACTGCCCACTCCTGACCAGCTCTGCACTTCGGTTCCCTTCAGCACAGGACTACAGAGGCGACCGCCTACCAACTGACCTGATTGTGGATGAGGCCAGCGCCCCAGGAGAGACGGTAAGCCCTGAAGAGTAGGCAGCTTCACAGAGAAATAATGGATGGGCCAGCAGGGCTAGTCCCAAGAAAAGCCCATGGCTGTTATAAACTGCAAAAACAGTGTGACGTTTTACCTGGAGAGTGAATTCATCACAGAGGGATAGAGTCAGAGAAGAATTCCAATGCAGAGCTCACCATATTGCCAGAGAGTTTTACCAGGCACGATTTTGGGAAGGGGTCGATTGTGTGGGACTGAGCTACAGAACAACCACACTACAGCTTTACTCCAGGACTTTCAGTGTTACCCTAAAACAGTGCTGGGGTGAGAGACAGCCACGGGAGACAGCCCTGGAGAGTGTGAGCGCTAGACATAGATCCCACGAGAAGTTCAAGCTCAGGCTAGGCAGGACATGAGGCCCTGTACCTTGCAGGGGGAGCCCAGGCCTGGCAGGTGTGGCTTTCACATGTGGCTTGTTCTGAAGATGATGACGTTAAGTCCAGCAGCCTGCTAGAGCCCCTGCCCTTCTGCCTACATCCAGCAGAGACTGGTGGTCTGACTGCTCTCCCATTACCAATGTGAGCAGAGGTGTGCATTGGTTTTGGCAGTTGCCAGTCTAGGGTTTAATAGAGACAGTTCAAGGCACCTAGAACTCAATGGCACAATAAACCACAGAAAATACACAAACACATGGAAATTAAACAATATACTCCAGGTCACAGAAGAAATCAAGGAAGAAATAAGATAATTCTTAGAATTAAAAAGATAATAAACATATTAGAACTTATGGAATGCAATGAAAGCAGTTCTAAGAGGGAAGTTTTTTTGATTTTTTTAAATTTTATTTTAAAGAGAGTAGTAAATGAGAAAAAAAGGAACACTAGCAGCATACCGGCATCACAAACATAAACAAACCAAAGCAAGAATATTTAAAGTGATACAGAGTTTCAAAACAAAAAGATATAATTTAACAGTGGTTGTTATATTACATATTGTTATCTTCAACTACAGTGCTCAGATTACCAGATGTAAGAATGGAAGATTGTTCAAACCATTAAAGAGAATAAGAAAATAATTATTAGATAAAACATTAGCGATAATTCAGACTTTCACTAGACAAGATGGTAGGAATTCACCATGGTAGTTCCATTGCATATTGTTGCCTTCAAATCAGTTACTTAGATTACCATATGTAAGCATGCAAAATTGGTCAGAACATAAAAAATTTTAAGCATTAACTGTTCCTCTCAATATACCATCAGACATCAGCAGTACAGCTATCACAGCTATTCATACAGATATATTTTGCCTTCCTACTTTCTGTTTTCTTCTTTCCTTCATCCCAGTCATTCCGTCCTTTGAGCAATTTCTTTCCCTTTCCTATCATCTATTTTGAGTTTTACTTATTCTTTCAGGTTCCTACACCAAGGAGACAATATGAAGTTTATACATGTGCGTCTGATTAATTTCACTTATGAGTATGGTCTTTAGTTGCATCCACTTACCCACAAAAGCCTCAAGTTTATCTTTTTTTTTTTTTTATAGCTGAGTAATACTCCATTGTATAAAAATACCACATCTTTTTATCTATTCCTCAGTGGATGA